TGAAATTTCTGGCTAAGCTCCTGGTGTTAGCATGGTATCCTGCTTGCTATTAAACGTGCAAGATGTTGAGTTTAATGAGTAATTAATTACTAATGATTATATAGATAGCACCTCTTTTTATTTGTGGCGTATGGACGAAAATTGAGATTTTATAGGTCTTTTAGAATCTAGAGGCACACGCAAAAAATCAGAGATGAGCACTTGGATTCGGTGGAATGAGGTCGACAAGTTGTCCATTTGGCGTAGTCCAGACTATAGTAAAGGATTCTTATCAATCCATTAAAAACAACAAAATAAGATGTCTCTGCTGGGATACTGTACCCCATTCTGCACGGGTGGGCCATGACCTGCAAGGTCGAAACCGCTCGCCTCCTATTTGTTCTAAATTAGATTGTTGGAAGTGTAAAACATAATTTACAGGAAATATGCAAAGAGGGGAACAAGAAGCACTCACTTTCTGTGCAGTCGGTGTCTCCAGGGCACGGGTTGTGACTCTCTCTCCTCATCTTTGCTAAGGAGACCCAGTCTGTTGATGGCCAGGATGTCTTTTGCCGAGCAGAATTCCTTCAGGATCGTCTTTACTTTCGTCATCTTCCTTATTGCGGGTATTTCTTTGCGGGCTGGTGTGATTTACTTGTGTGGATGTCTCAGATACGTCTCAAAGCTCATGATTATTTTTGTAATATTTTATTTTAGACTGTCCAACTGCCATTTTCGCACATTCTACTGGAGGCAAATATCCAACGTATCTTAAAATATGGGTCCTGTATATGGGAAACACAGAAAAGAACATATGACTATGAGTGGCACAAAACATGTTCTTGCGAATATTACTGCATTCTATTTTGACAAATTTCAAGTATTTTCTAAACAATGAGTACTTCAGAATAAGTCAATGAATAATATTTAGTTCGTATTATAATGTGTTGAAGAAGGATGACAAAGCATTTTCAAATGTAAGTAGGGGCATATTTTTCCTATAATGTTATTCATTTTATATAATAAATTAATGTTCCCTACTTAAATGGGAGCGTATTTTCCCTCAGAGTGGCTACAGCTTAGTAACAAGAAAGGGCAGTAAAAGCGTGCATTTGTGGGGGGGGGTAGGGTATGAAGCCGAACACAAAACATTCACATCGATCTTGTGAGGTCAATCTGCTGTTTATCAAAAATTCATCTCCACATGCTGGGGAAAAGGATTAATTTCGACCAAGACATTCGTACACTGCGACATACAGTCGAGTACGGTCTAACGACCACTTTTACTAGGCAATCTCCTTACAAAACAACCACTTCCTCATTCCTCATGCGGTTTTTTTTTCTTCAATATAATGTCACCGTGTAAGACGTCCACTTGTATAAAACGATCGCATTTTCGCTAAACAATGGATGGTCATCTTAGATAGTTTTAACTATATATATATAGACGTTTTGCTTTAGTCAAACGAAAACCTGTTATATTTTCATGTTGTTTATTGTAACTACCAGCAACAACCCTGGGCATGTATTCACTGCTTGTCATTGAATGGAGCAGTCATCTATCTTTGTGTAAAATGGTACGGTATGATGATATGGTATGGCATGGTATGGTATGCAGTGTGGTGTGGTGTGGTGGTGGTAGTGGCGATGGTGATATGTATGTGTGTGTGTGTGTGTGTGTGTGTGTGTGTGTGTGTGGTGGTGTGTGGTGGTGTGGTGGTGGTAGTGGTGTTGATACGCTTTCTGACAAAACTGTTGAACGGGTATTGATTTTCACCTTAATAATGTGTTAGCAAATTCCAAAAGTCTATTCTATTCTACATTATTCCACGAAGAAGAAGAAGAAGAAGAAGAAGAAGAAGAAGAAGAAGAAGAAGAAGAAGAAGAAGAAGAAGAAGAAGAAGAAG